CGTTGAAATGTTTTGTTTAGTTATCAAATTTACTTTCTGTAATACGATTCATCTAGTCTATCTATTGACCTTGACTATGCACTGTACATATGTAATACATTCAAAAAGTAAAAGCTAAATAAATTGTAATAACAATTTGCGTTTTATGAACGTTTTTTTTTTTTTTTGTTTGAACAAATAGAGTTCATGTTAGAAGTTCTGTAAACAATGTTAGGTTAAAAAAATTAAAATTTTTGTTTGAAGAAAGAAAGCTATTTGAAGAGCTTTTTATGAAAAAGCTTTAAGTGAATACTTTTTTATAAACTACATTTATGATTTTTGGAAACAGTTTTATGAAAAAGCTTTTTTAAATAAAAAGCTATTTATGAAAAAGCTTTGTTAGATCTTTTAATAAATACGAGTTTTGAAAAAAGCTTTTCCAAAAAAGCTTTTTTTTTTTAAAAAAAAACTATTTTTTAAATACTACTCATAAGGTCAGTTTTATGAAAAAAGCCCTTTGGCAAAATAGAGTTCATTTTAGACGTTCTGTAAACAATGTTGTAAAAAATTTACAACATATGCTTTATGTGTGAAGAAAAAATTGAATAGCTTTTTACGAAAAAGTCTTCAGTAAATGCTTTAAAAACATTTTTGGAAACAAAACTTTTTAAAGAAATTAATTTTAAAATACGACTCATAAGACCAGTTCTATGAGAAAGCTGTTTTAAGAAGTTTTTTTTGTAAAGCTTTTTATTAAAAAGCTGTTTAAAAAAATTGTAAGAGCTTTTAATTAATAGGAGTTTTGAATGTAGAGAAAACCTTTTGAAAAAAGAGGTTTTTATAAAAAAGCTATTTTTAAAATACGATTCAAAAGGTCAGTTTTATGAAAAAAGTATTTTGCCAGAATAGAGTTCCTCTTAGACGTTCTGAAACGATGTTACGTTAAAAAAAGTACAAAAAATGCTTTATGTATGAAGAAAAAAATTTGCAGAGCATTTTATAAAAAGCTATTTAACAGCTTTTAATAACAAGGAGTTTTGAAGAGTTTTCTGAAAAAAGCTTTTCAAAAAAAGAAAAAAAAAAAACGCTTTTTAAAATAAGATTCATAGCTTTTGGTGAATGCTTTAAAAAGATATTTAGAAAAAATAAAGCTTTATGAATTTGTCTTTTAATACAAAACATAAAGTTATATGAAAAAGCTTTTTGAAGAGGCCTTTAAAAGAAGGTTTTTAAAGAGAGTGAAAAAACTTTTTAAGATCATTTAATAAAGAGTTTTCAGAATAGAGCCATCGAAGGAAAAGCTTTTTCTATAAAAGCTATGTTTAAAATCTGATAAGGTTAGTTTTATGTAAAAGCCTTTTCATGAAAGCCTTTTACATAAAACTTTTTGTAAAATAATAAAGAGCTTTTTGTAATAAAAGCTTTTTGAAGAGCTTTTTTTATAAAAATAACACTTTTAAACGCTATTTTTTATCCATGTAATCAAAATATGTATGATTTTTTTCCAAAAGCGTTTTGAAGAGCTTTTTGTAAAAAATAAAGAGCTTTTTGTGATAAAACCTTTTGTAAAATAATAAAGAGCTTTTTCTAATAAAAGCTTTTTGAAGAGCTTTTTTTATAAAAAAAAACTTTTAAACGCTATTTTTTATCCATGTAATCAAAATATGTATGATTTTTTTCCAAAAGCTTTTTGAAGAGCTTTTTTTATAAAAAAAAACTTTTAAACGCTATTTTTTTATCCATGTAATCAAAATATGTATGATTTTTTTTTTTCCAAAACACGGAATATTCAATTTAATTTTAAAAATATTTTCAGATAATCTAAAGGTCTTTAAGTAAAAAATGTATAGCGACTTAAACTTCTGAATCGTTATATCAGTAATCTATAAAATAAACCTTTTCAAAAAAATTTTGAAAAAATATTGAACATTTAGAACTTAAGGGATAACAAAAAATGCACGTCGACTATGAAAAAAGTGACTTTTGGTATTACTTTTTTTGGATGAAAATACTTTCAAAGCAAAAAATCTTATTTTAAGTAAAAAGTTTCAAACAGCAAGAAATTAATAAGATAAACAACAACCAAAAATATAAATTTAAATAATAATAACTAAATAACAATAATTTTTCATAAAAAAAAATTATATTTATACAAATAATTTTTCTCATTTTTGTTGTATTTTTTTCTTTTGTATTAAATAGTGTAAAATTTCATTCTTGCAAGTATTCCAAAATATATATTTTATATTTTTTTATTATTTATACTTATTTTATAACTTGTTCTTCTTCTTTTTAAGTAAATTAAATATTTTTTTATTATTAAGGGGATTTTTTTAGAAATAACTATAATGTTGGTTTATTAACAAAAAATTAATAAAGAAAAGCAAATTCATTTAAATATGTATGTGTGTGTGGGTAATTTTATATAAATATTTGTATTTTTTGTTAGGAAAAAATAATTATTAAAAATTAATTTCAAGAAAAAAAGGAACAATCTATGGATTTTTTTTATTAAGCTTTTAATTAATTTTATACATTACACGATTTTTTTATGAAATTTTAATGACCACGATTTTGTAAAACAAATGAAATATTTTTCTATGAAAATATTTCAAAAAAGTGCTTTTGTTTTACAAAATTACCAGCCTTAATTATTTTATAATTAGTTTTTTTTTTTTGTAATTTATTATTAATATTTTACATATATTTTGTTGTTATTGTTGTTGTTTTTGCAGACATCTATACATACACAATTATAAATTACACAGTACATTTTAACTAACTGATAATTACTTATTAAATTACACTGTTTACTTAGTTTGGTTTTTATTATTATTGTTTAAATAATGTTTAAGTACAAATTAACTTAATATTAGGAAATGTGTTAATAGTAATATGACATCATAACACCATTTCCCTCAGATGTATAAAGAGTTAAACACTTTGAATATTAACACAAAATACTTGTTGTACAATTTGCTGAAAAGTTTTTGTTTTAAAAAAATATAGAATTTTACTAAAATTAACTAAAATGAAAATTAGTTTATTTTGGTTTTTGTTAAGAAAACAAGTGCAATAGAATAATTCTAATTATTTGTTTTTTTTTTTCCCAAAAAATCAAAAATATTAATTTCTTTTTAATTTGTTTTATGTATGTATATAAAATATAGCATAATAATAATTTAAATATAATAAATATAATTAATTAATAAATATATGATATGATAAATTTAAATTCAACTACAAGAAATAGTTCATTTGTCTTACCAATCAGCATTAGTGTTTGTTTGAATATGTTTTCTTTTTGTTGTTGTTGTATGTATGTATTTTTAATGATTTGAAAAAAAAATGTCTTTGAAACATAAAGTATATAATATGTTTTTTCGATATTTTAGTTTGTAGATTAAAATGTAGACAATTGTAATTTGAAAAAGAACTTATTTCCTTAAAAATAAATTTCTTAAAGAGAGACATTTTTTTGCAAAAAGAAAAAATTATCCATAATTCTCTCTAATAAGAGACTTTTTATTTTTTTTTTTAACTTTCCATGAATTTAGAAAAATTTATTGTTCATTTTCAAAACAGTGAAAATTTATGAAAAAAGAAACATTTATCGACAATTAGAAAAATTTATGGAACATTTCTTATGAAAAGTGAAAATTTAATGAAAATATTCTAAAAAAATGTAATTTAAAAAAAAGGAGAAAATTTATGGAAAATTATCTTTAAAAAGAGAAGATTTTATGAAAATTTTCTTAAAAAAATAAAAGTTATTGAAAATTTTTTAAAAAAGAGAAATTTTATTGAAAATTTTATAAAAAAAGAAAAAATGATTGAAATTTTTGTAAAAAAAGTTGGAACAATTTCTAAGAAAGATAAAATTTATTGAAAATTTTCTGTCAAAAGAGAAAATTTTCTAAAGAAACCGAAAATTTTTAGAATATTTATTGAAAATTTGCTTTCAAAAACAAAAAATTTTGTAAAAAAGATAAACTTTATCTAAACGAGAATAATTGTGGAAAATTTTCTAGGAAAAAGAGAAATAAAAAAATATCGAAAACTTTTTTAAAAACGAGAAAATTTAAGAAGAATTTCTATATGAAAAAGAAAATTTTCCAAAAAAAGAAAAATCTAGAAAATATTCTAAAAAAAAAATTGGTCTAAAAACAAAATTTATCAAAAATTTTATAAAAAAATATATCAAAAAATTTAGTAAAAATAGAAAATTTAACAAAATTTTCTAAATTTTTTAAATATTCAAAGAAAGAGAAAATTTGTTTAAAACTCTCGTAAAAAAGAAAATTTTCTCTTTGTCGAAAATTTTTAAAAAACTAAATTTATCAAAAATCTTCTAAAAAAAAAAAAAAAAATTAATTATGAAAAATTTTCTAAGAAAGCGAAAATATCGAAAGTTTTCTAAAAAAGAAACAAATTCTCGAAAATAATAATTATTGAAAATTTTCTAAGAAGGAAAAAATTTATGTTAAATTTTCTTAAAATATAAAAAAAAATTTCGTTAATTTTCTCAAAAAAAATTTCTTAAAAATTAAAATTTTGTAAAAAAGATAAAATTGATAGACATTTTCGGTGGCGTGTCATAATGTCCATGGACGTTATGTCCACGGAATTGCATTTTGAATTCCTTTTAAATAGTGTCCTGGATAGCCAGCCTTCGGCCGGCCGCAAGGGTTTTCAACTCTGGGGTATTTCGAATACCGGCTTCGCTAAATTAAGCCTTTTTTCATAAATGGACAGTTGTTGAAATCCATGGACTTTATGTCCATGGACTCTATGACTCAATTTAATGTGTCATAACGTCTATGGACATTATGTCACTGGACATTATGACACGCCACCGAAATTTCCTAAAAAAGAAACTAATTATGAAAGATTTCTTTAAAAGAGAAAATTTGCCGAAATGTATCTAATAAAAGAGAAAAATTTTCTCAAAAAAAAGTGAAAATTTATTGATTATTTTTTCTTTTAAGAGAAAATTATTCAAAAATAAAATTTATCGAAAAGTTTCAAAAGAAAAATTCTAAAAGAGAGAATAAAGTGAATATTTATCCAACATGTTTTTAAAAAGAGAAATATTATTAAACATTTCTGAACAAGAATAATTTTCAAAAAAGAGAAAATTAAATAAAAATATTTGTCAAAAAATATAATTTTTTCAAATTACAATTGTAAACTGTGTAAATTTGGTGACAACATATTTTTAACGCTAAATATCCTTTTTAATGCTCTAATAGCTGTGGTTTGTTGTTGTTGTAAATTTTCAAAGGAACATAATTACAAATGAGGATATACATTTTATATAGATATTTCTTATTAAAAAGTAAATAATTTCTTTCAATATTTGTTTTTGTTAATTAGTTATGAAGTAGTTTTTTTAGTGTGTTATTTTCAAGTACAAATAATGATTATATAAATTTATATTTATTTAATTTTTGTTACTTTTGATTGTTTGTTCTAAAAAGATGATAATAATTCTATACAGATTTTACAAGTTTTCTTTAGTTGCTAATATAAATGAGTGACTGAGCGAATGAGTGAATGAATGAAAGTTATGGAATTAAATGAGAAACTAAAAAAGAAAATTATAAAGAAAATACTTAATGGGAATGTAAATTACTTTCTACCCATTTATACAGTGATGTTTGTGAACGAGCCACCCATTCAACATTGGAGGCTACGCTACTTAAGGTCATATTTAAAACGTCCATGCCTGGACCTCGTCCAAAACGATGCACTAATGATTTAAGCTAAACGTAGTTTAAGAGAATTTTTATTATATTGTTATATCCATATTTATGTTGAGAGAATAAATAGCAAAAGAATCACTTACCTCATCGTAATCAAATTTTGTAGCACCATATTGTGTTATGGCTGATATAACTTTGGCAAAAGCTATTGTTCCCTGACCCATTCTTGACTCCAAGTCAAACCATTTCGCCTGCAGAAATCTACAGGCCATAGCACCACCTGTTGGTGTGCCAGCTATCGCTTGCACTACTTGCACCACTTCGGCGGTGGGCAACATTGTGACATGCGACAGCAGACGATTTTGTAGCCAAGCGTCTTTTGTACGGCCTAATGCTCTTAGTAATTGCATACGTTCTACAAAACTTTCTGATGTGCGCTGTAGCGTTACAAACCGTTCCCAACAATGTTGCCAGTAAATATATTCACCCGATAATATTGAGCCCGTGTAAACAACCTGTTGCGTGTTGTGAGAGTAGAGAAAATTTTCTTTAATGATATATTTGTGTTGTAAAAAATAATTATATATTCTTTACCTCTCTTAAATTTGGTGGTATTGCTGTGCCATTGTAATAGAGAAATTGATTTAACATATTTTTTGATTTTGTTATACTGTCAATATCTTCCCACAGCACTGAGGCCAATAAAACTTCTGGTCGCATTAATCTACAATAAAAATTTTTATATGAAATGTTTGCTTTCGGTTTTCTTAATTAATTCTTTAAAAACTCACCTTGTGGCCTCATCACCATCATCGTTCCAACCAATCTTCTCTATCACTGTGGACAATTTCATTTTTATGAATTCAGAAAGCATAAGGAAACATTCTGAGTACTTAAGAATACGACGCCATTTTTCCAAATGACGCAAAGCTAAAGCCATAGGACCCCAGTTGGTTTCACTAGGCAGATATTGTATCATATTCATGGTAATTTCACATGGCAGCAAATTAGCATGGCAAAGTGTAAAAGCATCAGATAGAAGACCCAAACGATCCTAGATGGATAAAAGTTTTTAGATTTTCAATAAATATTAAAACAAGTTACACTTACTTCACCCGTAAACTTATCAGGATCATTGGATAAATCCTCTATGATATTAGCCCAATTATCATCGTTGTATAGAACGCGATAATAGCCCGATTGGCGAGCATTTACTTTAATCCATTTAACATTTTCGGCAACATTGAAAGTAACTACAGTAGAGGGAAATATTTATATATAAATACATCAGTGAAATTATATTTAAAGTGAATATTTGAGAAAAGAATGGAAATTATTCCTACATCATTCATTATATTCATTATTATATTATTCATCACTGTAGACTAGTCTATAGTCTAGTCTATATCTAATCTAGTTTAGTCTATAGTCGAGTCTATAGTCTGGACTATAGACTAGACTATAGACTAGACTATAGACTAGACTATAGACTAGACTATAGACTAGACTATAGACTAGACTATAGACTAGACTATAGACTAGACTATAGACTAGACTATAGACTAGACTATAGACTAGACTATAGACTAGACTATAGACTAGACTATAGACTAGACTATAGACTAGACTATAGACTAGACTATAGACTAGACTATAGACTAGACTAGACTATAGACTAGACTATAGACTAGACTACAGACTAGACTATAGACTAGACTATAGACTAGACTAGACTATAGACTAGACTATAGACTAGACTATAGACTAGACTATAGACTAGACTATACTAGACTATAGACTAGACTATAGACTAGACTATAGACTAGACTATAGACTAGACCAAAGACTAGACTATAGACTAGACTATAGACTAGACTATAGACTAGACTATAGACTGGACTATAGGCTAGACTATAGACTGGACTATAGACTAGACTAGACTAAAGACTGGACTATAGACTAGACTATAGACTAGACTATAGACTAGACTATAGACTAGACTATAGACTAGACTATAGACTGGACTATAGACTAGACTATAGACTGGACTATAGACTAGACTATAGACTAGACTATAGACTAGACTATAGACTAGACTATAGACTAGACTATAGACTAGACTAGACTATAGACTAGACTATAGACTAGACTATAGACTAGACTATAGACTAGACTATAGACTGGACTATAGACTAGACTATAGACTGGACTATAGACTAGACTAAAGACTGGACTATAGACTAGACTATAGACTAGACTATAGACTAGACTATAGACTAGACTATAGACTAGACTATAGACTAGACTATAGACTAGACTATAGACTAGACTATAGACTAGACTATAGACTAGACTATAGACTTGACTATAGACTAGACTATAGACTAGACTATAGACTAGACTATAGACTAGACTATAGACTAGACTATAGACTAGACTATAGACTAGACTATAGACTAGACTATAGACTAGACTATAGACTAGACTATAGACTAGACTATAGACTAGACTATAGACTAGACTATAGACTAGACTATAGACTAGACTATAGACTAGACTATAGACTAGACTATAGACTAGACTAGACTATAGACTAGACTACAGACTAGACTATACACTAGACTAGACTAGACTAGACTATAGACTAGACTATAAACTAGACTATAAACTAGACTATAGACTAGACTATAGACTAGACTATAGACTAGACTATAGACTAGACTATAGACTAGACTATAGACTAGACTATAGACTAGACTATAGATTATACTATAGACTAGACTATAAACTAGACTATACACTAGACTATACACTAGACTATACACTAGACTATAGACTAGACTATAAACTAGACTATACACTAGACTATACACTAGACTATACACTAGACTATACACTAGACTATACACTAGACTATACACTATACTATACACTAGACTATACACTTGACTATACACTAGACTATACACTAGACTATACATTAGACTATATACTCGACTATACTACTATATACACTATATATACACTAGACTATACACTAGACTATACACTAGACTATACACTATACTATACACTAGACTATACACTTGACTATACACTAGACTATACACTAGACTATACATTAGACTATATACTCGACTATACTACTATGGACCATTAGTCTCTTGACTATTATGTGAAAGAAGTTCATATCGTAGACTATAGACTAGACTATAGACTAGACTGTAGACTAGACTATAGACTAGACTATAGACTAGACTATAGACTAGACTACAGACTAGACTATAGACTAGACTATAGACTAGACTATAGACTAGACTATAGACTGGACTATAGACTAGACTATAGACTGGACTATAGACTAGACTATAGACTGGACTATAGACTAGACTATAGACTATACTATAGACTAGACTATAGACTGGACTATAGACTAGACTAGACTAAAGACTGGATTATAGATTAGACTATAGACTAGACTATAGACTAGACTATAGACTGGACTATAGACTAGACTAAAGACTGGACTATAGACTAGACTATAGACTAGACAATAGACTAGACTATAGACTAGACTATAGACTAGACTATAGACTAGACTATAGACTAGACTATAGGCTAGACTATAGACTAGACTATAGACTAGACTATAGACTAGACTATAGACTAAACTATAGACTAGACTATAGACTAGACTATAGACTAGACTATAGACTAGACTATAGACTAGACTATAGACTAGACTATAGACTAGACTATAGACTAGACTATAGACTAGACTATAGACTAGACTATAGACTAGACTATAGACTAGACTATAGACTAGACTATAGACTAGACTAATAGACTAGACTATAGACTAGACTATAGACTAGACTATAGACTAGACTATAGACTAGACTATAGACTAGACTATAGACTAGACTATAGACTAGACTATAGACTAGACTATAGACTAGACTATAGACTAGACTATAGACTAGACTATAGACTAGACTATAGACTAGACTATAGACTAGACTATAGACTAGACTATAGACTAGACTATAGACTAGACTATAGACTAGACTATAGACTAGACTATAGACTAGACTATAGACTAGACTATAGACTAGACTATGGACTAGACTATGGACTAGACTATAGACTAGACTATAGACTAGACTATAGACTAGACTATAGACTAGACTATAGGACTAGACTATAGACTAGACTATAGACTAGACTATAGACTAGACTATAGACTAGACTATAGACTAGACTATAGACTAGACTATAGACTAGACTATAGACTAGACTATAGACTAGACTATAGACTAGACTATAGACTAGACTATAGACTAGACTATAGACTAGACTATAGACTAGACTATAGACTAGACTATAGACTAGACTATAGACTAGACTATAGACTAGACTATAGACTAGACTATAGACTAGACTATAGACTAGACTATAGACTAGACTATAGACTAGACTATAGACTAGACTATAGACTAGACTATAGACTAGACTATAGACTAGACTATAGACTAGACTATAGACTAGACTATAGACTAGACTATAGACTAGACTATAGACTAGACTATAGACTAGACTATAGACTAGACTATAGACTAGACTATAGACTAGACTATAGACTAGACTATAGACTAGACTATAGACTAGACTAGACTAGACTATAGACTAGACTATAGACTAGACTATAGACTAGACTATAGACTAGACTATAGACTAGACTATAGACTAGACTATAGACTAGACTATAGACTAGACTATAGACTAGACTATAGACTAGACTATAGACTAGACTATAGACTAGACTATAGACTAGACTATAGACTAGACTATAGACTAGACTATAGACTAGACTATAGACTAGACTATAGACTAGACTATAGACTAGACTATAGACTAGACTATAGACTAGACTATAGACTAGACTATAGACTAGACTATAGACTAGACTATAGACTAGACTATAGACTAGACTATAGACTAGACTATAGACTAGACTATAGACTAGACTATAGACTAGACTATAGACTAGACTATAGACTAGACTATAGATTAGACTATAGACTAGACTATAGATTAGACTATAGACTAGACTATAGATTAGACTATAGACTAGACTATAGACTAGACTATAGATTAGACTATAGACTAGACTATACACTAGACTATAGACTAGACTACAGACTAGACTATAGAACTATACACTAGACTATACACTAGACTATAAACTAGACTATACACTAGACTATACACTAGACTATACACTAGACTATACACTAGACTATACACTAGACTATACACTAGACTATAGACTAGACTATAAACTAGACTATACACTAGACTATACACTAGACTATACACTAGACTATACACTAGACTATACACTATACTATACACTAGACTATACACTTGACTATACACTAGACTATACATTAGACTATATACTCGACTATACTACTATGGACCATTAGTCTCTTGACTATTATGTGGAAAAAGTTCATATCGTTGCGGTTTCTTACCATCAACATTTTGCATCCACAAAGTTTCCGTTTGATTATTCAAATCCGTTACATAAGTTATGGGAAAAATCCATTTCATTTGTGCAGGAGGTTTCTGTTTACTGGCCGCAGTTGGGGCCGCAGTTGTTGTAGTCGTTGAAGTTTCCGTATTATTTGCACTTGTTTTATTATAGTTATTGCCATCGTAAGTTTCATCATGTATGGCTAAGAATTCAGCGGGCTTAAAAGGTTTTTGCGATATGCTTATTTTGTTGCCCAGTTTTGTTACGGTCAGTAAGGGGAAACCCGATTGATGGGTCCACAAAGACATCATGTCCTAAAAAAAAATAAATTAGATGTTAGTTTCTTTATTAATTTAGATATTTTGTATTTCAATTACCTTAATATTTTTAGCACCATTAGCCTTTTTAGTGCAAATATTCCATAAATCTAAGGGTTCTGCTGTTTTAAAACGATTCAACTTAAGAAAACCTCCCAAACAAGTTCTGAAACGATCTTCTCCTATAGCAGTATGTAACATAGAAAATATGGCGGCAGTCTGTCAAACGATAACAAAACAATTATTTAAGTAAATTTTAAATAATAAGCAACTACACACTTACTTTTTGTATAAAGAAATCTTCATTATTACCATCATGGCTAGTGCCATTCATAATGCTATCCCAACCTTGTATAGCATCAATATCCAAAGCTGCAGTAGCCATATTTAACAAGTACATTTCTCTGAGAGGCCAATTTTCCTGCAGCGGTGATAGCGTGTGTATACCCAAGTATTTTATCAAACCCTCCCATAGCCAAACATCTTTGAGTACTTTTCTTGATGTAATGCCACCAAAGAATTGTCTTACTATAGCTTCTGCTATTAGCAGAGCACTTTTTTGATATTGTTCAGTAGTTTTAGATTCGGGATCGGTTAGAAATGATGTCTTTAAAGTAACCAAACCCAAAGAAGATATGATATTACGATCTAACGAGGGTAAAGCTACAAAATCCACTTTTGTCAGCGGATAACTGACATCCAGCCAAGTTTGCATATATTCCAAAACATCACGGGAAGTGTGCAAAATAAATGAAGATCGCGGCAAAAGATCACGTGGAGCATAGAATGTATATGATGGTGCTCTTTTAATGGTTGAACCCGTTGATTGGCTTAAGGCTGTGAGATTTTTCGTCTCCATTTCTTTGGCAGGAGATATTGTTGTTGTAGTGGTAGACATATTTTTACCCAGGATATTAAAATTCAACGAATGCGTTAACGCTGTTATATTACGCACTGGCGGCTTTTTCTCTTTCTGTTGAGTGTAATTATTTAATTGTGCGGATTTTTTGGCACCCGCTCCGTAGGGCGGTGTTTGTGTGGTGGGCATGTAGGCAGCTGAAGGTTGTAAAGATTCTCGTTGAAAATCACTAACAACCCATGCAACAGCATCGGCTGGCAGGGGTGGCGTTTCGATGAAATCATCGCGTAACTATCGATTCAGAGTAAGAAAAGTTAGCGGAATTGAGTATTTTTGATTGGTAAATAACTTACCAAGCCTGTGCCCATATAGAATCCTACATCCTCTGTTGTATGCACAATGGAATTGGAAAGACCTATATGGAAACGATCTCGAAATACTGAAACTCGGAAAGGGGCTCTTATGTGGGGTTCATCGAAACAAGGGAATGCTTTACGAGCTCCATTAGGTCTAAATACTGTGGCAGCTAATAATCTGAAAAATTAAATTCAGATTAGTTTAAATTTTTCATAAACTTTAGCAGTTTCGATATCGTCTGAAATCTCAATAGAATTTCAATCGAATTTGTCGATAATTCAAGTTCAGTTTTCAGTTTAAATTTCAGTATTAAGTCCATACTAATAGTACTAAAAATAAACACAAACATACCTTTCTATACCATTTGAGCTTTCATATTGATCGACATAGAAACCTTCGGGTTCTGGATTTAATTTTGAATACCAACGCAAATTAAGTGTGTAATTGGATTTCTTTTTCAATTTATCTTTTACTTCAATATACAATTGTTGTCTAGGTGGGTATTCTAAGAATTTGACAATTTTAATGATACTCCCCCTATTACCCATTGGTACAATGGCCTGAAAAGAAAAATGATACAAAGTAGCATTAAAATCCAAAAAAAAATTTAATGTTGAAAAACAAAAGAAAAAAACAAAATTCTTAGAATATATTTAATATGCTGACTCTGTTGATAATGATGATTGATAAAAGTTTGATTTATAAATAAAAAAAAATTTAACTAAATAAGAAATGTGAAAAGAAATTAAACCCACCTTTTCTGTGACATTTAGATCCTGTATATGTAAGACAATAAAATTGGTTTCCTTTTCAATAAATAGATCGATAGTCACTTGACCTTTAATAATAAGAACAAAAAAAAAGAGAAAAAGAAAATATTCAAATTAATTAATTGCTTATAGGGAAAGGCCAAATTAGCATTAGTTAATGGGAAATACATATACATATAAAAAAGTTAATGTTAAAGGAAAAATAGATTTTTAGAACAGATACAATTTCTTTGTATTACAGTTTTACAAACAATTTATCAGAATTGTTGTTTAAATTTTTTCATAATTTTATGACAATTTTTTACAAATAATTTATAAACCACGATTCCAGAATTAATTAGCGCTTGCTAAAACTTATGTATGTATTTCAAAATAGCGTAATAAGATTAATTTTGTAAATAGTCAAGTTTTAGTTCAGATCTAGTTTAGTTCTTGTTCAGTTCTAAATCAGTTGTAGAGCGGATCTATTTCAGTTCTTGTTCAGTTCTAGTTCAGTTCTAGTTCAGTTCTAGTTCAGTTCTAGTTCAGTTCTAGTTCAGTTCTAGTTCAGTTCTAGTTCAGTTCTAGTTCAGTTCTAGTTCAGTTCTAGTTCAGTTCTAGTTCAGTTCTAGTTCAGTTCTAGTTCAGTTCTAGTTCAGTTCTAGTTCAGTTCTAGTTCAGTTCTAGTTCAGTTCTAGTTCAGTTCTAGTTCAGTTCTAGTTCAGTTCTAGTTCAGTTCTAGTTCAGTTCTAGTTCAGTTCTAGTTCAGTTCTAGTTCAGTTCTAGCTCAGTTCTAGTTCAGTTCTAGTTCAGTTCTAGTTCAGTTCTAGTTCAGTTCTAGTTCAGTTCTAGTTCAGTTCTAGTTCAGTTCAGTTCTAGTTCAGTTCTAGTTCAGTTCTAGTTCAGTTCTAGTTCAGTTCAGTTCTAGTTCAGTTCTAGTTCAGTTCTAGTTCAGTTCTAGTTCAGTTCTAGTTCAGTTCTAGTTCAGTTCTAGTTCAGTTCTAGTTCAGTTCTAGTTCAGTTCAGTTCTAGTTCAGTTCTAGTTCAGTTCTAGTTCAATTCTAGTTCAGTTGTTCAGTTCAGTTCAGTTCTAGTTCAGTTCTAGTTCAGTTCTAGTTCAGTTCTAGTTCAGTTCTAGTTCAGTTCTAGTTCAGTTCTAGTTCAGTTCTAGTTCAGTTCTAGTTCAGTTCTAGTTCAGTTCTAGTTCAGTTCTAGTTCAGTTCTAGTTCAGTTCTAGTTCAGTTCTAGTTCAGTTCTAGTTCAGTTCTAGTTCAGTTCTAGTTCAGTTCTAGTTCAGTTCTAGTTCAGTTCTAGTTCAGTTCTAGTTCAGTTCTAGTTCAGTTCTAGTTCAGTTCTAGTTCAGTTCAGTTCTTCTAGTTCAGTTCTAGTTCAGTTCTAGTTCAGTTCTAGTTCAGTTCTAGTTCAGTTCTAGTTCAGTTCTAGTTCAGTTCTAGTTCAGTTCTAGTTCAGTTCTAGTTCAGTTCTAGTTCAGTCTAGTCAGTTCTAGTTCAGTTCTAGTTCAGTTCTAGTTCAGTTCTAGTTCATGTCTAGTTCAGTTCTAGTTCAGTTCTAGTCAGTTCTAGTTCAGTTCTAGTTCCAGTTCTAGTTCAGTTCTAGTTCAGTTCTAGTTCAGTTCTAGTTCAGTTCTAGTTCAGTTCTAGTTCAAGTTCTAGTTCAGTTCTAGTTCAGTTCTAGTTCAGTTCTAGTTCAGTTCTAGTTCAGTTAGTTCAGTTCTAGTTCAGTTCTAGTTCAGTTATAGTTCAGTTCTAGTTCAGTTCTAGTTCAGTTCTAGTTCAGTTAGTCAGTTCTAGTTCAGTTCTAGTTCAGTTCTAGTTCAGTTCTAGTTTCAGTTCTAGTTCAGTTCTAGTCAGTTCTAGTTCAGTTTATAGTTCAGTTCTAGTTCAGTTCTAGTTCTAGTTCAGTTCTTATCTAGTTCAGTTCTAGTTCAAGTTCTAGTTCAGTTCAGTTCAGTTCTAGTTCAGTTCTAGTTCAGTTCTAGTTCAGTTCTAGTTCAGTTCTAGTTCAGTTCTAGTTCAGTTCTAGTTCAGTTCTAGTTCAGTTCTAGTTCAGTTCTAGTTCAGTTCTAGTAGTCTAGTTCAGTCTAGTTTAGTTCTAGTTCAGTTCTAGTTCAGTCTAGTTCAGTTCTAGTTCAAGTTCTAGTTCAGTTCTAGTCAAGTTCTAGTTCAGTTCTAGTTCAGTTCTAGTTCAGTTCTAGTCCGTTCTAGTTCAGTTCTAGTTCAGTTCTAGTTCAGTTCTAGTTCAGTTCTAGTTCAGTTCTAGTCAGTTCTAGTTCATTCTAGTTCAGTTCTAGTTCAGTTCTAGTTCAGTTCTAGTTCAGTTCTAGTTCAGTTCTAGTTCAGTTCTAGTTCAGTCTAGTTCAGTTCTAGTTCAGTTCTAGTTCAGTTCTAGTTCAGTTCTAGTTTCAGTTCTAGTTCAGTTCTAGTTCAGTTCTAGTTCAGTTCTAGGTCAGTTCTAGTTCAGTTCTAGTTCAGTTCTAGTTCAGTTCTAGTTCAGTTCTAGTTCAGTTCTAGTTCAGTTCTAGTTCAGTTCTAGTTCAGTTCTAGTTCAGTTCTAGTTCAGTTCTAGTTCAGTTCTAGTTTCAGTTCTAGTTCAGTTCTAGTTCAGTTCTAGTTCAGTTCTAGTTCAGTTCTAGTTCAGTTCTAGTTCAGCTTCTAGTTCAGTTCTAGTTCAGTCTAGTTCAGTTCTAGTTCAGTTCTAGTTCAGTTCTAGTTCAGTTCTAGTTCAGTTCTAGTTCAGTTCTAGTTCAGTTCTAGTTCAGTTCTAGTTCAGTTCTCTAGTTCAGTTCTAGTTCAAGTTCTAGTTCAGTTCTAGTTCAGTTCTAGTTCAGTTCTAGTCAAGTCTAGTTCAGTTCTAGTTCAGTTCTAGTTCAGTTCTAGTCAGTTCTAGGTTCAGTCTAGTTCAGTCATTCTAGTTCAGTTTCTAGTTCAGTTCTAGTTCAGTTCTAGTTCAGTTCTAGTTCAGTTCTAGTTCCAGTTCTAGTTCAGTTCTAGTTCAGTTCTAGTTCAGTTCTAGTTCAGTTCTAGTTCAGTTTCTAGTTCAGTTCTAGTTCAGTTCTAGTTCAGTTCTAGTTCAGTTCTAGTTCAGTTCTAGTTCAGTTCTAGTCAGTTCTAGTTTCTAGTTCCGTCTAGTTCAGTTCTAGTCAGTCTAGTTCAGTTCAGTTCTCTAGTTCAGTTCTAGTTCAGTTCTAGTTCAGTTCTAGTTCAGTTTCTGTTCAGTTCTAGTTCCGTTTCTAGTTCAGTTCTAGTTCAGTTCTAGTTCAGTTCTAGTTCAGTTCTAGTTCAGTTCTAGTTCAGTTCTAGTTCAGTTCTAGTTCAGTTCTAGTTTCAGTTCTAGTTCAGTTCTAGTTCAGTTCTAGTTCAGTTCTAGTTCAGTTCTAGTTCAGTTCTAGTTCAGTTCTAGTTCAGTTCTAGTTCAGTTCTAGTTCAGTTCTAGTTCAGTTCTAGTTCAGTTCTAGTTCAGTTCTAGTTCAGTTCTAGTCAGTTCTAGTTCAGTTCTAGTTCAGTTCTAGTTCAGTTCTAGTTCAGTTCTAGTTCAGTTCTAGTTCAGTTTAGTTCAGTTCTAGTTCAGTTCTAGTTCAGTTCTAGTTCAGTTCTAGTCAGTTCTAGTTCAGTTCTAGTTCAGTTCTAGTTCAGTTCTAGTTCAGTTCTGTTCAGTTCTAGTTCAGTTCTAGTTCAGTTCTAGTTCAGTTCTAGTTCAGTTCTAGTTCAGTTCTAGTTCAGTTCTAAGTTCAGTTCTAGTTCAGTTCTTAGTTCAGTTCTAGTTCAGTTCTAGTTCAGTTCTAGTTCAGTTCTAGTTCAGTTCTAGTTCAGTTCTAGTTCAGTTCTAGTTCAGTTCTAGTTCAGTTCTAGTTCAGTTCTAGTTCAGTTCTAGTTCAGTTCTAGTTCAGTTCTAGTTCAGTTCTAGTTCAGTTCTAGTTCAGTTCTAGTTCAGTTCTAGTTCAGTTCTAGTTCAGTTCTAGTTCAGTTCTAGTTCAGTTCTAGTTCAGTTCTAGTTCAGTTCTAGTTCAGTTCTAGTTCAGTTCTAGTTCAGTTCTAGTTCAGTTGAATTCAACTTAAATCTAAACAAATATTTAACAAATTTCAATAGTGAATTATAAGCGGAACTAGAGCTAGATTAAAGGGAAGACAAAATTACAACAAATTTTGCATAAATTCTACAAACTAGGTATTTTTATTTTACAAACCATCACACAAACATACCTTTAACATCCAACGTTGTCAGATTCGGATGTATTGTCACCATATAACGCAACGGTCTTATAAATGTTGGCAATGTTAAGTTTAACCATGGAAATGGTTCACCATTTGTTGCAATCGGATTAAATGGTTGTGTGACATTCTCTTCATTCGTATGATGACCAGTTGGCAATTTACGGGCGCACGAACAATCTGAAAAAGGAAATTAAAATAGAAACTCATTAAGCACACCCTCCAGACTTGACAGACATAAAGTCAAAGAATCATTTTGTTTTCTATTTTTTTACTTTGTTTTTTTTTTCTTTTCTCTTATTTTCTTTTATTCCTTCTGATATGTACGAATATAATTTATTATTTAAATAAAAATAAATTAAAAAGATAAACAACACTCTATGCTGTAATTGTTTACATACATAATATAAACTAAAAACAAAAATAAAAAACAATACATAGATTAATTAATAATTATACATAATTGAATAAAAAAAAATGCAATAAGTAAATGAAATTCAAAACAAAAATACATAAAAAGGAAATTTAACTATTTACATAAGAAAGATATTATTCATTATGTACTAAGCAAATCTGGGAGATAACTCAGCAAACATATGTAAGTGTAAATTAATATTTATATATTTAGATATTATAGATTTTTGAAAATTGAAGGGCAAATGTTAAAGAATTTAAATCTTGGTTTTATCTCCCAAAGAACCAGTAAGTTAACTGCTCGAATTTCCATTATAATGTTTGCTGGGTTATAAACATGTTTATTTTAAAGCAAAAAATAAATACATACATACATGAAACATACACACTACATTCATCCACATAAGTACATTAAATAAACTCTAAAAGTTTATTAAGGACTTAAAACAAAAAATTAAAAAAAAAAATGTAAAAAACAAGGATACGACTAATTGATTAATTGAGTGTAAGTAAAGTGGTGGGTGTTGGCTTGATGTGTGAGTTTATCATCTAAGTACATGTATGTATGTATGTATTGTACATCCATAAAATTTTTTTAAACAAAATATGAAATTTTTGAAATGCAGTAGTAGTTGATTTACAAATGAGATTGATTGGAAATATGAGTAAAAATGTCAATATTTACTTTACATACTACAATTTTACTTATACATACATACTAATTTTTATGGAAAAACATCTAAAAGGAATGAACATCAGTTTTTCATAGAGACCCAATGCAAACTTTTAATAACACAGGTCAACAAAATGTTAAAAAAGTTGAAATCCTGAGACCAGGTTATACTTTTCTAAAGGATTGAGCTGAGTCCAAATCATTGCTCAGAATTTCTACATCACATCTAGGATTTGAGATATCGTGTTCTAAAATTTGAAAAAGCTTTATTTTGGCCCTTTTTGAGTAGTTATAATAGAGCCAAGACAACTTAATGTATAAAATGTATACCATTTGAAAGTCCATTCTTTAAAATAAAGTCTAAACATCTTAACATCGTTCCAAATATCAGGATTCGAAATCTCGAATACCAGATGTAATGAGGAAAGTCCAGATTTGGATTCAGCATAGCTTAACCGTTTAGAAAAGTACACTTTGGCCTCTGGTTAAATAATTTGTCCGCCTGTGTAATAGGAGGATGTATACTACATCAAATCCGAAGAAATATACCTAGGCCACTATCGGTCCTGTTGTGTGCTCCTTTTCATGGAAAAAAATATTTACTGAATGTACTATTTTTCAATGTTTAGAAACACAGTTTCCAGGACGTAATTCCTAAGAATCTTCCAATCAGTGTTGGTCAGGAATGTTATTTCCGGAATAACATCACTTTCAAGATACTTCGACAGTGGCAAAGAAAGTGCTACTCTCGGGTGGCTTGGTACCCATATGATGTAAGCCTTTCCTCTGGGAGAGTATTCAACTTCTAACAATCCAATACGGTCTTAGATTTAATTTCAATCGCCTGATATCGCCCTAATTGCCTTCTGGCTGTCGGTATATACATTAGGTGTCTATGTAGTGAGCTTGCACCAAGTTCATGGGAGCAAAATGATAATTTTATTTTGGCCGATAAATACCTCTCTTAGCCCCGTTAACTCCACCTTCGGTTATCGTTTAACCTGTAGATATTCTGCCGGTTAAAATATTTTTTATGAAAACTATCAATTTAACCATACTATAAAATATAACCAGACATTGAGATAATGGGGGTTATAAAAAATATATTTTTTTTTACATATTTTAACAATTTTGAAATGTTTTTATATATTTAAGGTTTGTTATACCCTACACCACTATTATGTGTTTGTACTTATGTATGTTAGTGAGTCGATTAAGCTATGTGTATCCATGTTAACCTTTTAATTCGACGAAGCCTATTGAAAGTGGCTTAAATCGATCCATTATTCCACCTATCCTTAATACAACCGTACCCTCGGAATAGTGCTTTGAAGCACATAATTCTGATAAATGATGTAGTAACAGCCTTAATGATACTGTCGATTATCGAAATCATAGATCCTAGGCCCATATAAAGTCCACTTCTGAAAATTACTTGAAAGTCAATAATTCTTGTATGCATTTTATATTAAAATATTTCAGAATAAAAATTTCAGATAATAGTAATCCTATATATCTGAAGTTTTAATAAAACCGAATGGCGCCCAAAGGATACATTTGGGAAAAATTTTCGACTCTTATGTTGAATCTGAATTTCTCACTGGGAGTCAATATCAGGACTGAGGCAAAAAAGCTGCATAACGCTAATAAAAGGGAAATCCCAATAGTTACTGTCGCTTAACAAGAGTGACCTAAGATTGCTAACGGGACTTTATACCAAACCGAGGTCATATATACTGAGTTACTGCGGGTCAAAGTTTGACATTTTTGCCAAACATGTGTTTTTTCTCATCTATGTAACTTGTTACCTATTTCTTCTGAATTTGTTCCAAACAGTTTAGATAGCTATTTTTTTAATCTTTCATCGCGTTCGGAAGACATCGGTTTTAATAGTTGGGTCTCTAGACATGAAATCCCTTATATATGTATTAATTTAGGGATCGAAATACCTTTGAGTTTGACTTTATGTTCGTTGGATTGGGAAAGAAATATCCTGTTAAATAAATACTATATATATTTAAACAATAAAAAATGTTTAAATGAAAACATCATTCAAAATTCCATAAAAATGTCAATTTGATAATAAAGTAATTTTCTAAATATTCATAAAATATTCATTTGTACAAGAAAAATTCACTAAACAATTTTTAAACAATACGAATAGAAATGAAAATACAATAAATTCTGTTTCAATGTTTTAGGTTGAAGGAAATGATTTAGCTTTTTGATTAAATTTTTTGTTTTTTTTTTTTTTACTTTTTGGTGGGAGGAAATGGAAGGTTAAAGGAAATGATTGACACATTATTCTGACACAACAAACATGCCATGTAGTACATAATGTTTTCTAAAGTAGTAGAAGAAGAATAAGAGATTTTGAAGTAGAACAAGAAATAGTAGAAGTAAATACAAAAATAGGAAGTGGGTTACAAAAAAATAAACTAAAATAGATTTTTTTATTTGTTTAGATTTGAAATGAATGTCGTGTTTTATTGTTGATGTAATTTATTTTTAAAGGGGGGTTTTTACTCACAAATAAAAAATTGTATTGAACTCTTTTACTCACATTTTTACCAATCAAACAAGCATAATAGAGATATTCATTTATATATGTATATTTTTTTTTTTTTTTTTTGTTATAAAATACATAAAATATAAACAAAATACGAAAAAAAGAAAAAAATTATGTATTTAAAAGTAATAATATAAATTAATATGTAATTTTTGCAATAAAATAGTTTTTTATTATTTATTATAATTGTTCATAGATTTAAATCAAAATAAAGAGCAGGTATTTGAAATAAATTGCACATAAATGTTAATGGGAATTTTATAAAATTATTGCCCATAAGTAGTGTATGTCCTGTTAGTTTTTGTTTTTAATTCGTAAATAATTTAGTTATATAAAAATATTGTACAATATTGTTGGGTGCTTTTTTTAAAGAATATTAAAAAAAAATAACATATTTATGTATTTACAAATCTGATGTGGTAAAATAATTAAAAATGTAATAATTAATGTTTTGTTAGCAAATGTTTAAAGTAATAATAATGGAAATTTAAATAATTATTTTTTTTTTAAATAGATTAAAAAAAGTAATTACTTTCAGCATTAGCTACTCCTTAAATACTTTTGAAATTTTCACTCAATAGAATTATTGCCATTGTTTTTATAGTGAAGAAAGTTTAATAATTTTATTAGCAAAAACAACTGAACTAAGTTGTATAGTCTAATAGTCTAGTCTATAGTCCTAGTCTATAGTCTAGTCTTAGTCTAGTCTATAGTCTAGTCTATAGTCTAGTCTATAGTCTAGTCTATAGTCTAGTCTATAGTCTAGTCTATAGTCTAGTCTATAGTCTAGTCTATAGTCTAGTCTATAGTCTAGTCTAGTCTATAGTCTAGTCTATAGTCTAGTCTATAGTCTAGTCTATAGTCTAGTCTATAGTCTAGTCTATAGTCTAGTCTATAGTCTAGTCTATAGTCTAGTCTATAGTCTAGTCTATAGTCTAGTCTATAGTCTAGTCTATAGTCTAGTCTATAGTCTAGTCTATAGTCTAGTCTATCTAGTCTATAGTCTAGTCTATAGTCTAGTCTATAGTCTAGTCTATAGTCTAGTCTATAGTCTAGTCTATAGTCTAGTCTATAGTCTAGTCTATAGTCTAGTCTATAGTCTAGTCTATAGTCTAGTCTATAGTCTAGTCTATAGTCTAGTCTATAGTCTAGTCTATAGTCTAGTCTATAGTCTAGTCTATAGTCTAGTCTATAGTCTAGTCTATAGTCTAGTCATAGTCTAGTCTATAGTCTAGTCTATAGTCTAGTCTATAGTCTAGTCTATAGTCTAGTCTATAGTCTAGTCTATAGTCTAGTCTATAGTCTAGTCTATAGTCTAGTCTATAGTCTAGTCTATAGTCTAGTCTAGTCTAGTCTAGTCTATAGTCTAGTCTATAGTCTAGTCTATAGTCTAGTCTATAGTCTAGTCTATAGTCTAGTCTATAGTCTAGTCCTATAGTCTAGTCTATAGTCTAGTCTATTAGTCTAGTCTATAGTCTAGTCTATAGTCTAGTCTATAGTCTAGGTCTATAGTCCTAGTCTATA